CAAGTACGGTTGTACTGTGGTAATACTAATTTTTAAGTTAACAAATTATTACATTATTAAGATACAGATAAGCACATTAAAAAAATACATTTCAAATCAAAACACAACAACACAAGAGATTACTTATGAGGTAGAGGCATGCAATTATTATGACTTTTCTTTCCACAGGTTTTTGGACAATGATTTGTTAAATTTATCAATTTTCACAATAATTTGATTTTTATATAATTCATTTTCATTGCCAAGATTAAAACATACTTTTTCTGTAATATTTAAAGAGTTAAATTTATCACAAACGTGGTGAAAGTTTAGTGATTGGAGATTATTTTTAAAGTGTAATATTTCCATCCTTCTAATGTTTTCAAGAACTGGGCATACAAGCAGAAAATGATCAATGTGTACAATGGAATTATCATTGCACACCTTACAAATTCCCGTGTCATTCTGATCACTAGACCATTTTTTAGTTCGCTGTTGGAAAAAGAGTGTATTTGAACAGAGCTAAAATTTTATTGACACTCCTTCAAAATCAGTACCGTCAAGAAGGTACTCTTTAATACTTAGTGACGTTTTAATTAAGGAGCATTTTACAATAGAAGGTTTTTTTTTAATATCGTCCTTCCAGAAATTTAACGAATTTTGTTTTAGAGCATGTTTTATTTCAGCTGCCCATATAGGATTGGGTATATCTTGATTATTTTTAATATAAGGAAAATACTCTTAATGTTACATTTCTGAAATATATTATTGACACAACCAAGTAACTTATAATTCAAGTTATTGATATTTTCAGATGCAGTTAGGGCTTTAAGTAACAGCTTTGGCCAACAATCTTCTTCCATTTTAAAAATACATTCTATATAATTTAGACTGAAAATGCTCTGGGAGACGATGTTGGGGGATCTATTAATGCATACCTTGAAAAAACATTTTCATATGTTTCCTGGCTAAAATGGGATGGTCTAAATATTGGGCTACATAACATTTTTGGAAGGCCCATGAGGACGCCCAGGACACTTCATTGATATAGTAAATATGCAGTTTATAAGAAATTTTGTCAAAAGAACAGATAATGATGTCAAATTATTGTATATTATAAGAACATGGAGGTAAATTTCATGATCGGAACTTCTTGGCAGATTTGGAATGTGGTCTCTAGCTTGGTGCCTAAAGTAGGCTGATGTGAAGTAAAAAGCTTGCAGAATGATGCTCTCAATCAGCCTTCCACAATCTTTAAGACTGACGATCTACTTTAGGAAATTGAAACTTGAGTTTACTTTATGTATAATTCAATTAATTATCCACCAATTATTTACTTATCTATTTAAAAAATATTACTTTTAAACATTACTTTTCTATTTCAATTACTGTATAATTAAATATCATTTAGCACAATGAATAACACATCTTTACTTTACATGTAATTCAATTATTTATTGATTAAAAATTATCTATTTATTCTATAATCACCTTGAATATACATAGAATTCAATTATCTATCTAATTAATAATTTAATTTAATTATTCAATTTTGAAAATACTTATAATTAATATTCTATATCTATTATTATTATTCAAGGAGTAAGATAAATGCAACAGATAAGGTATCTTCTACAAACATTTATTATGGAGCCTTGTCATTGATGACCATGCCCCACCAAATAATAACAAGGCTAAGAAAGCAGCGACTTACCGCCAACAAACTCTTGTAAAGTAACAGCAAAGCCACGACCACTACCAGAATAATCACTGGTGAAGGTGATGGTGACACTAGGACCAGAGAGATATGGCGCCATTACCATTTGGTTTCCTGTAAGTGTTATCTGTAAATCTCCAGAATCATTGAATGTTATGAAGTCATACTTGTTTTCCAGATCAACATCTAGGACATCAATAACCATTGGCAGGCCTGAAGAAGTAGAGATTTCAAACACTTGTTTCTGTACTACAGGGTACCTGTTAGGATAGTTGGATGAAGTGAGACGCAAGATAGAGGCTGACTTTAAATCCTCTTTCACTATATTCTCCTTTGGGTCTGGTATACCTGCAAAAAGTATATATTGGTTAATTCAACTTTGGAGAAAATAACAGGTTACCAAATATGTAAAATGCAATTTTTTATCAAGTGATAAAATAAAATTAAAAACAAGATCAATACTTGTCCCTAATGTTGCTAAATTCACGAGCAATGTTAATGAAGATAGCAACGTTGATCATGATGATGATAATGATGATGTTGACAGTGATGATGGATTACTTTTCAGTTTTTCTCTTGTGGAGCCAGCCTTAAAGTCCTTTGGGCTTATTTGGCTTCTCCAGACACAATTGCATTTGATTTTGTTTGCATCTATATTATTTTTGTCTTATTACCACCATTATGCATTGTGTGAATAAATATATATATCTGAATCTGATGAAGGTGACTACGATGCAGAGGATAATAGGACAGTTTTCATATTAAATATACAGGGGCGGATCCAGAATTGTTCAAACGACATATTCAGAATAGATAAGTCAGTAGTGCTAATTTCAATATATGCATGAAGCATGTGCACCAATGTCCCATACTGGATCCACGCCTGAAATACATACAGTTTGCATTGAGCTAAAATAATAATGAATTATTTTCCTAAAAGAAAAAGCTTATAAAATATATTTTTTGACTAACCTTCCGTTCTATCTTCCACATGCATTCGGAACCCTGTACCACTTGTATTGGCAAAGCCCTCTGAGTGAAAGGTAACTTCAACCTCTTTGCCAGTGCTGATGAAATTTTTTGGCAAAGTTGAGCCACTGAGGCGCTGTAGATAAAGTGTAGCCAAACAACATTAGTAAACAACACCCTGCCACACATTGTCAGATACGTTTTACAGGTACCGTCTATGTTTAGATAAATACAATTTTGCATTTGAATTGCTTATTTTGAATATTATATTATTAACTTCAAATAAAATATTTGAAGAAAATTTATTTTTTAAACTAAATACTGTACAGTACTACAAATATACCCCTATTTTTAGCACAGCTTACTTTGGAACCAATTAGTGGAGGTACTAAATTAATGGTGATACTAGAAATGGTGTAAAGCATAAAGAAGTAAATGAAGAATTATGTTATCTTCAAAAGTATCAAGCAGGGAAAAGAAGGTGCATAAGAAATTGTTTGACAAGGGATGATGCCATGGTCCTGATGATGATGATGATGGTAGGATAAGGTACTATCTAGATTCTATTTTTTTGTATAACTTTGTTATATGACTTAAACATAAAAATATTAGCCAATGCACATCATAACATGATGATTTGTGTATTTTAATGGAAAGCTGGTTAAAACAAGTAGAGGACTGTATGGATTCTAAATTAATCCATTATTAAGAATAAATAACAGCATGCAGTTACTGTACATCCATTCTAAAACATTTTAATGTATTAAATTTCTTAATTTCCATCTAAATAGGGCAATCTGAACACCACATTTAGTGCCAGTCAAGTATAGTGATTCTATGAGATTTCAAAGATGTCCCTTCAATTAGAGACTACTTTTAAAACATAATGATTTTAGGGATTATTAGCTATGAAGACAAAAAAGGGTCATTATCGGTATTATATCTAGCCGATAATGACTCTAAGAGAACTCAGGCTCAATAAAGGCCTGCAAACCCAGTTAACAATTTAATGTTATCATATTATGTTGCAGTTGGTGTTCAAAGCATGTTTCTGTACAACCACAAATACATATTTATAACATCGTTTCTGAATAAAAAATGTTAAAAAGTTCTGTGTTTTATGAGAAACAGTATTTACAACTGTAAAGAAATTGAATCTGTGTGGTTTTTCCAGATATTAACACGGGCAGTATCATATGCCGGGCACCCACAGTCATCAGCCAACGCGATTCTATGGTGAATGCAATGGCGCAACATGCACAATGGATCGTTTTAATGAAGATACCGTCAAACCCCAGAGAATAAGCAGATGGTGTCGTGTAGTCTAGACTCATAGGGAGTGGAGTTGGATTTGTCAGCCGACAGCCGTAAAACCGTAGTATAATACAGTGTGTTCGTGACTTTTTTTCATTTTTAATGGAGTATAAATTTTTTTTTTTTTATTAAAGGAAATCATGTGTTAGGTTACCAAAACCGTATCGCCATCCTTAATCTGTAAATAGTCTCCACTTCTGATATCAAAAGAGTCAAATACAAGTGCGAGGGCAGCAGCTTCTGTCATGATGTTGTATGTACAGTCCACTTGTTCTGGGTACACATCAGGCCAGAATAAAGAAGTAACATTCGCAGCAGGGCTGTTAATCGTCTGAGGAGCATTGCACTCAGTGTTGACTACAAAACAAATGAAAATTATAGTTATTAGATAAACACTGTCAATGAACATTATAGGTTTAAGCTAACACAAATGTATTATTTTTTTAATCTATATGCATATTCAAATTCAATTAGTTAAACCTTACAGGCAAGTAAGTACAAAAAATCACATTATAAAAGTATGTTAATGACCAGGCAATCCCGATGAAACTGTGTGTAAATGAATTGTGTTTAGGGATTGCAAACTGCCGTGTTATTGGTTGATGTCAAGCCAATAGACAATATCCAATAGCTAACACTTTATTCCTCCATTCTTGCAAGAAATTAAAAGCACTGACAAAGTGTTACTTTTCACTAAATTGCCAGTCATTGTATTTTTATGTTAGTGCAGGTGTGTTAGTGATATTAATCAGGTTTATGCACTTTCGCTCATCCCATTAAAGCAAATAAAAATTGTTGATTGGTAGGTATCACTCATTACACTATCTTCGCAAGATGATTATCTCACTTGACCCTCACAAGGTGACAATAAAATACATTTTATTGTCACTGTGTAAATGCACATTATAAAGTGCATTTAAGCCCAAGCCTTTAAAGGAGTCATGCTAGCCCTAAAAAAATATCTCATGACCAGTGGAAATTCATAGTTTCGAAAGTAAAATGCAAAGGCCGATTTAAGCGACATTTTTTTTTTACATTGTTGAGAATTTAAGTTTGAAAATGTCCTTTCCAGCCATTTAGAAGTGCCATAAACATAAATTTTAGTACTATCATTTAGTAATATCATCATCATGGCTTCCCATACATTTTAATTTTAACATAAAAAACTAGCTTAAGTTTGCACGTAAAATTGCTGGAAAAACTGGTGCACAGAATCATGCTACTGCACTATACTTGATTATATATTTCTAGGCCTAATTTTTGTGAGGATATATTTCCAGCGCAGACATATTAGGCCTAATATATTTTTACATCTCCCTGGTATATGTAGGCTTATGTACCATATGTAACATTTTCTATACCGATGGCTAAAACTCTGATCAAATAAGCCAGACTTCTCATATTAGTAAAATACATTTCAGTACCAAGTCTTCAAATATCTGAGTATTGTAAATACATAATTTTCATAGCACCTAAACATTTTTCTCGAGTGCAAAATGGGTTGCTTAAATTACAGGTACAGGATAATAACAGCTGTGAAAAATCAAAGAAACAGGACAATATAAAGATTTACAGGCTACTTTTTTCTTAGTTTTCACAATAATTTATCAGATATTCTTCTTTCGATTTTCGTGGGTTACCTTTGTGTTACACAAAAAAAAAAAAACCATCCGTCCATCTGACAAGCACAAGTTGCCTGGAGGGGCAACGTAGTTGCCTGGAGGGGCAACGTAACCAAATATCCTAAGGCAAGACTTTTTAATACCTTGTTTAGCGAACCTGCCGATTGCAAATATTGATGATTTCAAATAAAATTTTATTTTTAGCCAATTAGCCCACCCGCCGCCACCAAATAGTGGACATTTCAGATAAAAAAGAATAAAGTTTTTCTTTATTTTTATTACGCCCTCAGCTGCCTTGAAATCTCCGAAGATATGTATATTTCTTCTTAATTATATTTCAAAAATTTAACCATCCTATTTTACATTTACCAAAATAATTTTATTTTTATTTTCTCCTCCGTCTGGATGTTTTTGGCAAAACTATTTGATAAATAACAAAAATGATTTTTATTTTTATTCCGCCCTCCTCCGATGATCTTTAAAAAAATAAGTATGTAAAAACAAGGAATATAAACAGTCTCCTCTAATGGGAAGTCATTTTGTTCTGGATTTCAGACCTATTCATGGGTCAGTCTAGGCTAATGGTAAACTTCTGTAGTGTTTTTGTCTATTTCTATACGTCTTTAATTTTGCAAAAAACTGAAGTTCTGTAGTACTGTACTTGAGAAATCTGAATAAGCCTTTCACATCCCTTAATTGTCTGACCTTTTTTGAGGGTTTCTATGTGGTTACCTGTTCCATGCCCTGTCTCCTTTGGCCTATATTAGGCCTAGCCTAGGCCCTCCTAAGTCTAGGCCATACTGTAAAGAAAATCGTTAGGAAAAAAGTGCGCGGAATCTTAATTGCTGCATAGTTTGCATTGGTTGTTAGCAGTCCTACTAAATAACACGGACCACACAACACCACACTGAACCACAAAAATTACTACTTTATTATGTTATAATTAGGCCTAATATACAAAACTGTAGGCCTACCGTAACTATTTATTATTGTTATCATTATCACATTATTATTATTATTATTGGAATAATAGGACTTATCTATTTAATATGCAGGCTATATTACAAAAATGGAAAATCGAAAAAATTTTTTTACAGTTCTGACAAAATAATATTGAAATAAAGGTACCGGTAGGTGTGAATCCCACGGAAGAGAAAAATTGTCAGTTCTGAATTCATTCCGTTAGTAGGGGTTTTGTTTGTCGTTTTTTAAATAATATATATTTCGCTGTTTCAGTGTAAATCAATTGCGTAAAGGAGATTGCATTAATGTAAAATATATTATAAAATAAGTAGATTCAGGACGACCAATTTATCCGAAGAAAAGAATCGGATTCCAATGGGATATGAGTAAAATATAAATAAACAGATTCAAGATTCAAAAATATATTTATTTATAATACATTTTTATTTAGGACACATTTCATCAACAAATATCTACCGGTACTCACTCCGGGATCCGGGCTGCTCACTTTATTATCATTATATGTAGAAAAATGAAGTGAGTATATATTTGATGAAAAACGGAAATGTTTTTTTTTTTGTTTTTAATGCATTTTTATCATTGTCCTACTGGTAACCCAATGGAAAATTATTCTTTACTTCGACCATTCTGTATTTATTCACTTCTATATATTTTATATTAATCTTCTTTATCCATTGATGTAAGCCTACACTACAATAATTTTTTTTTAAAAGCATGAATCAGCATTGACAGAAAATAAAAAAATAGAATATCTATCTAACAATACATTTTAATACAAAATTAAATATTGTATACTACAATTTTTAAATACTCATTTTGTTTAGTTAAAGTTCATTACATATATCTTGAGTGATGCTATGAAATGCAGACAAGAAGGTCATGGTGTAATACAATTCTGCTGACGCGTCAATTTTCGGAAATCGGCCCTTATTTTCCGAAATGCATGGACAGACTTCTATGCCAAATTTTTGCACAAAGGATATTATCCCTGCGCATGCCTTACTATACAGTCTGGAGTCTAGGCCTAGGCTAGTCTAGAGCAAATAAATGCCATAGCCAGCTATTGGGACAGTTCCACACAATGTTTGTAACTGGTCCACAAAGAATTGTCAACATTCTTAAAAATGGGTCCAAATTATGCAATTATATTTTTATGCAAAATGAGTCCAGATTTCTAATTTACTCTAAAATGGGTAAATTTTGGGTCCAGATTTTTCATGTTTTTGCATAAAATGGGTCAACTTTAAGAAAATGGGTCCACATAATATTTGAATTTACGCGTAAAGTTGGCCCACCTTGATTGATATTGTCCTTCACCGTTTGAAAATCCTAGCTACGGCATTGGCTGAGCCCTAGAAAAGGCTAGGCCAGACAAGACTAGAGGTAATACTGTAGTGCTTCTAGAGCGGCGGGTCCTTGGCCTAGCCCTGGGCCTCGGCCTATGCCTAGTAGCAGCAGGCGTAGCGTACTCTCCTGCTACTACTAGGGGCCTAGGCTAGGCTAGGCCTAGGCCTGGCCTACAGTAGCCTAAGCCTTAGGCTAAGGCCTAGCTAATACAGTTAAAAGTCCTTGCTGAAATCGCAGAAAATGTTTGTGAACACACATTTTGAATTTAATACTTAAAGGCCAATGAACCGCCTAATCATGAGTCTGAGGAATAGAATTAACAAGAAACTCGTTCTCCACCACAGCACGGTCCTACGTTACAGTACGTCAGTTGTTGCGTCCGCTGCTGCGCCTCTTGCTTGGAGCAAAGAACTATCTTGGCCATGGAGCTAGTGCGCAGTGAGTTCAGTCAGTTCCGAATTGGTTCCAGGTTTGGTGCGTCTCTGATGTCTTCCCAAACTTAGTTTGAAAAATTGAAAGTAGTAGAGCAGGGGGACTAATGAGGGCGACAATCGTAGTCTCGTACTACAATCAACGAACTACAAGTACTGTACTGTATTCCCAAAGTTCTTTTCTTTATAATATAGGCCAAGATATACACGGATTTTCTAGTTATTTTGATATGTGAAGGTAGATTATTAATATATCATCATTATCATCATCATTATTGCTATAATTAACATCATCATAATCATCATGACATCATCATCAGCATCATCATCATCATCATTATCA